TCTCTCTCTCTCTCTCTCTCTTCTNTNTNNTTTTTCTCTTTCTCTCTCTCTTTCTCTATTGGATGTTGGATGGGGAAAAGCCGGGACGGACGACATCGGCGTGTCGTGGTCAGTGAAATCTCGTTATAAAGCTGCGCGCATGCACGATCGAAGGATCGATCATCTCTGCTCCTTTTTTCGTGTCGGGGGTGTGGATCGTCCGGCGGTTAGAAGTGCTCTAGAGCGAGACGTGGCTATCCCGAAATAAACTTTCTCGGGTTATGTAAAGGCTGGCAACTGGCTTGTGTAGACTCGCCGGTATAAAGGTCGGCTGTTCCTCCAACGGTCCAAGAGTTGCTCACGAACTTTACGCCAGCAACCATCGGCCGCTCTATATGTGACGTACGCCTTCTTTATCTCTTCACGCACGCACACGCACACACGTTATTTTCTCGTGTTGGGAGAGAGCACGTGTACACCGCTGTGTAGTTTTCGGCAATATGCGCTCCTTGGTAAGTAGTTCCTTCTCTTTTTGCACATTTCGGCCACCTGCGCCCTTCCTCTTTCCTTCTCTTTTGATCTTAACACTTTGTCTGTTGGTAAGCTTATTGCTAATGCCTGTTGCTTATCGAACAATGGCCTATTAATCGATTTGATCGAGAGAGTGAGTGAGTAAGTCAGCGTGCGTGTAGATAAAGTGTTAACATGTTCAATCAATGTTTGTTTGTTGAAAATCAAATATTGGTGGATGTTCTCTCGGTGATGGATGTTAATTTTAGGAGAACAGTTTAGTAGAATTGTGATATATCTCCCCCAAAAAATGGTTGTTATGAATATATTTATAGAAGGAAAAATCAGATGTGTGGAAAATGTTAAATTTTTTTTTTTTTTTTTTGGTAAAAATTTATGACGCGATCGTACAAGCCAATCGCCGTGGAATAGGAAATTTTCAATCACGCATGCGGTGAATTATTGGTATGTGTTTAATGGAAGATTTAGGATTTTTTTTTTTTTTTAACTTTTGTCCCCTTTTGAAAAACACGATGATTTACGATCGAAATCTAAATAGGAATGATTAATTATGATGACGTGATAAGGGTAAGTCGGGTCAGTGGCATTGAATCAGTCGTTTAAACTTGATTTTCTGGTTTATTTTTGTAGTAATGGAAAATATTGCTCATTTGTATTTATAGTGATTTTGTATTTTTATGATTGATAAAATTTCTTGATGTTTATTGGAAATGAAAGTAATTTGCAATAAATAACGTTAATTTAATTGATTATTTTTTTATTTGAATTATAATTATGATATGAAAACGAGAAAAATTATTATTTATAAGTTATTATCATTCGTATAATATCATATTATAATGGAAAATATTGATGTTATATATTTTTAATTATAATTTAAAATATAATTAATAGAATTCACTCAATTAAGTAATGTAAATTTTTATGAAATTCATTATTGAATTTGTTTAAAAAAATTTTCTACGTTACATTTTGATTATTATTAGAAGAAATTATTATAAAAAAAAAACATTGAAAAATATAATTTTGATCATAAAATATATAAAGAATTTTAAATTTATTAATTTTAATTTTTTAAAAGATATCAATTATATAAAATTCTCTAATTCAATATATATAAAATACACGGATTATTAATTTATCTTTTTTTCATTATTTAAATTATTTTATTAATTTTTTTTTTTTTTTGATTTGCAACGATTTCCTATATTAACGATATGTATAATAAAAACTTATAAATATTTATTAGTATGTGCAATAATTATAATATCACTAAATTATTTAATACTTTGATCTAAAATATATATTATTCATCATATACGATTTAAAAATTTATGGAAACAGCTTTAATTGTGCATAAAAAAATATATAAAAAAGTTATAATGATAAATATAATAACATGAAATTTATAACAAAATTATTCAAATTAAATACACTTTCACGAGGAGAAAGTATTAAAATTTTTGTTTAACATAATTCTAATATAAAACTTGACCAATAAATTATCGATCAATATGCATCATACATTAACAAATTTAATGAATTAACAAAAAATAAAACCATGAAAAAATATTAATAAAGTTTTTCAAGAAAAATAATGAATTCTAGAAAAAAATTACGTATTAATTATTAACTGCTTGGTTGGATATATTTTTATTGATTACATGGAACAACATTAGAGTCAGGTTTTTCCCCTTTATCCCTTTTACCGCTTGCAATCATAATGAGTATTCTGACCTACCTTCTAATACATTCGTCTTGCCCTGACCTTTCACGGGGAAAGGTATCTCAGCAGATTTACAGGACAGGCACGATGAAGATTAAAACATAGAAGTATTTATTTTTTTAAAACTAAATTTTAGTTAGAATCAATTTAAAAACGACGAAAAGATGATTGAAAAATTAATATATGTATATTAATTTGAAGAATTGAAGAAGTAGATTACAAGATTTTAAATAAATGAAGAATCTATTGATTAAAGCATTAATATAATATATATATGTATATTTTATTATAGACTTTCTAATGTTTTTATATAATATTTTGCAATAAAATAAGAATTATATATTTAATCTGAATTGTTTTTACTTGTTACTTAGAATTTTAATTAATTAGAATTTTAATGTTATTATAATATATAAATACTTATACACAAGATTTGATTAATTTGAAAAATCTTGTATCTGTAGTAATACCATTTATTTATTTTATATGAAAATATAAACTAACATTCCTGATTCAATTGTGAATGAAATAAACAATAGAAAGTAAAAATATATAATTTATATTCAGAATTTATATTTAAAAATTGATTATTTCATTGATCATAAAAGAATTCTAATAGCTAATATTAGAAACTAATTCTGAGGGAAATATTTATATTTAAAAAAATTTAGAAATCATTAACGTTCATTTCATCGTATAATGTAATCATAAACATCATCGTAAAAATATGAATAGATATGTTATACAACGAAAAAAATATTTTCGTGTATAATCGAAATTTTAAGTATTAAAAAAAAAAAAAAAGAAGAAAAAAATTATTATTTCACTGGTTTACTCCAATGGTTCGTCATATCGTATATTTTTCTTAAGAAGCCATTACGTATGATGTAAGTTACATTAGCTGCTTACATCAATCACTGACATGGTAATCATAACTCTCTCTAATCATACTATTAACTACCTACTTGTCTAGACAGTCCCTATCAAAATAACATTGGCATATTAGACATGTTTAACACGTTCTTTAACTAATCAAACGTTAATAAAATGGTACCAAATATAAAAAGCGTGCCGCAAAGGGTCATTTATAAAAAGAATATATGAAAAAAGATTTTTTTTTTGTTTATCTTTTATTGTTGTATGAAATAGCGTGCAGTTTTTGTTATTATTTTCAACAATATAGTTTATCAATTATTATTTCAAAAAAGTTTCATAAAGTTAAATAATTTGCACTATAGTATTATTTATGCAAAAATTATTAAAAATTATAAAAATAGCATTATATAAGCAAGTTGTAATTTCAAATGAAAATTAGTTTTTTTACTTTATATTAATTACAAGAATACAATAAATAAAAAGTAAAATAAAGATTAAAAATATGATTCTCTTTAGAGAAATATATAACGAATAAATTTTTAAAATTGATTAATTAATTAATTACAGAATTACCAATTTGAAAAATAAGATTTTGAAAAAATCACGTTTAAAGTTTAAATGAAGAGATTATAATTTAAATTTCTAAATTTGGTAAGTAAATTCCACTTAGAAATTCAATATACGTTGTTTCCTTTTCATTAATTAAAATAATCAATATAACGGCTTATATTCTTTTAATATAAACTTAAAATATTTTGTGAAATAAGTGGAATCTCCCTTGACATTCTAAATTAATTATTTGCAATTATCAATAAAAATATTTTACAACACATCTTACAAAATCGTCATTTCAATTAATAATTGAATCAATAATTTCAAATCAACATTTTCCACGAATACATAATTTATCACCACGGTATAAACATCATTTCATTATTCTTTTATCTCTTGCCTACTTTTCAAATATCATCTCACCAAATTTATCTCAACGATTATTCCCCATATCTTTCGCTTGAAATACATCCAACATCGTCTTTCAGATCTTCCTCGTTCTTGTCGCAACGGCTCACTGCCAAGAATATTTCCGGCAACCGGAAAAGATCATAAGCGAGAACCGGAACCTAGGCGACAATCGTGGCCACTACTCGTTCACGTACGAGACCGAGGGTGGTATCGTGCAAACGGAGACCGGAAGTCGAAAGTATGCCGGCACGCCGTCCGAAACTCAGCTGATCCAAGGCTCCGTGCAGTACAACGCCCCAGATGGCACACCGATAGCGATTAGCTGGACGGCCGACGAATTCGGCACTCAAGTTGCCGGTACTCACGTGCCAACACCACCCCCAATACCGCCAGCCATTCAGAGAGCTCTCGACTGGATAGCGAAACAACCCTCGACCCCGGAACCCGAGGAGGCTGGTAAAGACTCGCCAAGCCAACAAAACGCTGTTCCAGCAAGCACTAATCGGCAATACAAACCGCCACGGACGAATCAACGAAACTGATTGCTCGTCGTGATCGTGACTCGTTAGAATACCTCCTTAGTCGTAATATCTTGTCTAACATTTCTATGTAATTGTAAGTTAATATTTCCGTCTCGAAATATCGCGAGGTTTTTAGGTTAAGTTTGCGAAAACTTTTAGGTTAGGTTGACTTATCTGACATATACGTGAGAATTATTAATAATTGCGTTGTGATTGCGTTGTTTTTGTTAGAAAACATTGGTTAAAGCAAAAAAATAATTTTAAATCTTTGCGAAATGTATATAAGGTTTTCTATATTTTGGTTAAATGAAAATATTTCGAACATTTGAATGTATGTTGAAAAATAAGGAAATGTTAGATGAAAAATTTTACTTAAGGAGGGAATATCTGTTAGATACAAGTTTTTATGTTAGTTTTTTTTTTTTACAATGTACAAAATAAAATTTATATTTTCATAGAAAATTTATTTGGTACGAATTTGACTCGTTTGGTCGACGAACGTTCATATTGATTCTTTTTTATTCGAGAAAGTTAGAAGATATAATATTTGATATATTTTATTATGATCTCATAAATACATTTAGAAAAAAATTATTATATAATTTTGTATAATTTTTGTTTTTTTTTTTATTTTTATAATCGATTTTTCTGATTATTTTTTTTTCTTCTCTCCTCTATTGTAATTTATAAAAAGCCAAATATTTATAATCGTTTTCCTTTCCTTATCAAATAATGTTTATTAATTGGCAAATATGCATTTAATATCAAGAAAAGGTTTCATTTTTTTTTCAAGTCAATTGTCGTAATGTAATAAAATAGAAATGAATACTTTCCCATTTCATAGAAAAGAATTTTTATATGCAAAAAACAATTCTTGGACATAGACAAATTAATTTTGCAAATAAATAATGATATATATCTTTGTATTAACATCGCGTGACTCGGACAGTATTTGAATGAATTACTATTTCTGTGATGTTTAATTGTTAATTACTTTTTTCTTAGTCATTTTATATATAAAAAAAGGAAAATGTTAATTATTCTTTTTTTAACTATTTTATGAATAAAAAGAAAGAGAAAAATTTAAAAAAATTAATTTTATTAAATGTTTTTAATTATTTTAAAAATTAATCAACATTAATTACATTTTATCTTATAATTACTTACTGTATGTATTATAAATATATTCAAATTTTGTTGAAATTTCAATTCAAATAGTGAAAGAAAATATTGAGTAATATATTTGCATTAAAAAATTAAAATTAAACTTCAAATTATTTTTTTAATAAATTTTATTATTTTTGCTTAATTCTATTTTTTATGAAAAGATCAATTCATTAGAAGATATTTCAAGTTATATTTCTTATATAGATATTGTGTCATATACCAGAATTATGTTGATTTATTTCTATCTATTATATGAAATGAATCATTATATGAAATATATTGATAAATTGTAAAAGATATTATTATTTAAATTATATACGGTATTAAGGATAATGAAATTAAGATAAGAAATTTTAATTGTTTAGCATATATAAATTTATTTTAATACTTTCTTTAATCGAATTTTAAAAATAATTAATTTAAATACGTTTTAATTAATACGTTTAAAACACATTTAACTTTGCTTAAAAAAAATACTTCTTCTACAAAGTAATTACCAATTAAGTTTAAGTGTGATTTATTAAAGTAAAAACAAGAGTCAGTATTTTTTAAAAGTTTTAATTGCTTTAATTATAAATGCATAACGGTTTATGTATTTTAAATAATATAGTTTGACACATTAAAATAAATAATTTGATTTTTCGTATAATAATAATTACATTTATGTAATATTTTATATAAAAATAGATAATGAAATAAGTATTGCTACGAATAAGTCATTTTATAAAAATGATCTGATTAGAGTCAAATTTATGTCCAGAATAAATATGCATTTTTAATACTGTAATTTTAATAATATAGAATACTAAAGCATTAGAATACAAAAACAGACCTTTAAATATTATTAACATTTGCAAGTAAAATTGTAAAAGATTAAAATATAATATAATTTAAAAGTATTTTCATATATAATTACTTATAAAATATACATCAATAACTTTTAAAACTTTTCATCTTGATAGAATAATAAATTATTTATTGTAAAGAAATATTATTTTAGTTTTAATTGTCGAATGAAGGAAAACAAATTTTGAGATATTAATATGAAATACCTTTTATATTAAAATAAATATATTAATTTCATATATTAGAATAATTTTCATAATTAATCGAATAGTCTTTCTATGCATTTTGCTAATTAATTAATTAATTTGATAAATATAATAATCATTTAAATAATTTTTTATTTTATATTCGCAAAGAATTTTTTAACTTATGGCTTACACGAAGGAAAAGAGATATTTTATATCATCATTCCGAAAGAATAATGAGTTTATGTTATGGTAAATGCGTTTTCTAACGAACAAAAAATTAAACAAACAAATTATTGCATATATACATTTTCTTTATACGTGTTTTTCTATAAACATTTCTAAATTATTCGTTAGAAAAATTTTCATTTATTATAATCTCAGTTTAAGCAAAATTGTAAATTTTTAATTAAATATTGATCTCAGAAATACTTTCAATATAATAACTTTTTCTTTACTTCATTTTAACAAATTATTTTTTTGTTTTTTAATTTAATGATATTTTAATTATGATATCATAATAACAATTTAATGTATTGTCGGAAATAATTAAATTATGATTAGAATTACTTTGCTTTCAACAATTATATATTTTATATTATTATGTTTACTTAATTAAGTTTAAACTACAACAATAAGTAAAATTGATTTTTTTTTCATTCCGTGAAATATTTTTTTATTGCAATTTTGCCATTATTCTTTCAGTGATATATTATCAAATAATTACTCATAAGAATAAATATTTATGTAAGAAACTTTTACACGGCTATTTAAAATAACTCAAGAATTGAACAAAATTTCAAAAATTATTTCTTGATTCTACAAAACTAATTATAATGACAATAATATAGTACATTACAATATTATTATTATATTAAGCTTCTTGTATTAATTCAATTCGAAAAACGTTCTATCTTTTATCGATCGATATTTCATAAATATTCATATCCGTAGCATTCAGGATATCTACACTAAAGCTATATCTTCAAATAATCCTTGCGCACATCGGCAATTCGATCAATTAAAAATTAAAACTTAGTTTAACTTAACTGTTAACAAAAATTAGATTCACGCATATGTCGAAACATTTCTTAATAATTCTTCAACAAAGCAAGTGATAAAAGTTCGAATGTACAATTTATTTACAATAATTCTCTGCGTTGTTTCACAATTTCTCCATGTAAAAAAATAAGAAATCTAAGGAACATAATATAATAAGTCGTAGATTAAAAAAAAAGAAAAAGAATAGCGTGGGGATCGAGTCTCAAATCTCCTCGAATTCCTCTTCTTTTCAGGAGGACGCGCAATCGAGCAAATCCTTTCGAAACGTTCGATTTCCCTTTTTCCCAAACTTTGGTTCAAATATTGCAGCAATCGTCGAGGAGCCTCGAGACCGATCCTATTCACCCGCTCGTCTCGTTTCATTGCGCGCCGTAGTTATTCTGCTCTGGGTGAGCTGCGTTGTACTCGAGCGCCTTGAGGATGGCCGGTGGTGTTTGGGGGATGTGACTACCCTGGGGTTGGAATCCGTTCTCGTTAGCCACGTAGTTCACTTGGACAACTTCACCGTTCGGCGCGGTGAAGGTGTAACTACCCTGGGCCTGTTGGACCGCACGTGCCTCAGTCTGGGTGCCCACATAGTTAACGTATCCGATTTCCTGCGCCTGGATGCCATTCGCCGTCTCGTAGCTGTAACTGTAACTTCCATCTGGATTTGGACCGTCCAAGCTCTGTCTCAGAATGGGAATGGGGGTGGTGTATCCGGCTAAGGAGGCGGCGGTTGTCATGGAAGCGAGGGCGCAGAGTACGATAATCTGTAACACGAGTGTTTGTTTATTATTTTTTTGTTAAAGGGTAGGTTAGATAGGTGAAATTGTTTCTAGAAAATTAGGAGATATTTATAAAGCTTTTTTTGGGGGTTAGTCGCAAAAGATATATTTGGTAATTTTTAAAAAGTATTAAAAGTTTTCGATATCTGAGAATCGTTTGATAGACGGCAATTACGTTTCGTTATTTATTGATGGTGATTGTAATCAAAAGTTACATTTATTTTTATATACTTTTTATATAAACGTAATTATGAATTATTACATATTGAATTCAATATGTTTTTTTTCATACTTAAGTATGTGTAGAAAGATATATTGAAATTGCAGTATCGTATAATTAAGAATTAGATCATTAAATTTTGATCGAAAAATTTATATTTAAATTTTTGCAACTTCGAGGAAAAATATTGCATGACAATTGATTTGAATGTTCATTTTTAAAAATGAATTATTCAAAGAATTTTTTATATTGAAAAACAAAGTAATTAAAGATAGTTTCTTTCTACAAACAATTTTTGGAAATTTAAATTATTCTGATAAGGAGTCAAATAAACTTAAAATAGTAAAATTTATAAAAATTTTTGAATTATATCAAATTTTATTAATTAGTATAATTTTTTTAATTACAAATATAAAACATATGAAATGAAAAAAAAAAAGGTATTTTTAGCATTTTACTTGACGTTTAAGTTTTTGAAAAAAAAAAAGAAAATTAAAATATTATTATAATAAATAGAAAATTGTTTTCTATAAACTTTTTAATTTTTCAAAATATCGAGCAATATAGTTACTAGAATGCCAAAAGTTATTTAACTAGAGGAATATGTATGAATTTCAGAGTTTTAGATTTTAAAGAACCTGTGGGCTACATTCCGAATAATACATAATATTGCTTGAAAGTTTCTTCCAAGAAAAATGAAAATAATTTATAATTTTTGGATTAAATATATCATATATATTTTGATTAGAATAATGATAATTAAATTTTTAATTTTACACTGAAAAAAATAATTTTAATTAAACTTCTGTATACGTGTTAATTAAAAAACTAATTTACAAAATATCTTTAATTTTTATGAATTAAATTTTTATATAAAATAGATTGAATTATATGCATATAAATTTTATAATAGAAAATAATTAATTTTATGTCAAATATTAAAAATATAAATAATACTAAAATATATTTTTAAAAATGAATACAATTCACAAACTTTATATATCTTTTTTTAAATCATAAAAAATTAATTTATTAATTAGGTTTCTTTGAAAAATAAATTTTATCATATATTTCCTTGAATAAAGAAAAAATCAAATATTTTTATATTCCACTTACGAGATTAATAAAATTCTGAACGAAAAATTTCAGAGAAATATTCTATTACAATAGAAGCAAATATAAAGATTAAAATTCATTTACAAATAAAAATTATCT